GGACAGAGCAATGGAAGGGACGGAAGGAACGGAAGGAACGGAAGGAAAGCAGGCAGGCAGGAGGCAGAGTTTAGCTCAAGTGAAGACCAAAAATGTCTCGTCCACAAGGTTTATGTTCCTTCCAGTATCCCTAAAATGCTGTCTGAATGAGCAGCAACATCATGGTCTTGGGGAGGGAGGGGGGCCGGTAATACTTGCTATTATATAAATATGAAAAGTGCAATCCATTTGCAACTTTGTTTAAAAGAATGTCTTTGAAATGATGTAATCGAGAATCTCCCGATGAATTCAGGCATTGACTACTACAGAGCCATTCCCAGATTAATCTCTTAGAAAGCAAAAGGCTGAAACAAATTACCCTTGTGCAAATATTTTTTAAGAACCCACCAAAAATCGTTCGACTCTCCAAAAGCAGAATGATCCTCTTTACTGCTAGTTTAGCTTATTTTGGAGCAAACTGGAATCAATTACTTGCTGTTTAATTTCTAACACTCATCCTTAAGCCTCAACCAAAATATTGACCTACGAGGTTTACATAAATTGGGCTCTTGCCATCCCAACAACATATTTTGGTAATAACCAAGAATTTGAATAGATTTCTCCTTTCCACTCTTCTCTGCTGTCCTTTAAGGTGATGAATTTAGTTCAAGCCATTGCAAAATTGTCAATTTTCCAGTTTGCTTGCAAATAAAGGAGCGGGGGCAGGGGGAAGAGCAGTTATATGTCAGTAATGAAAATGGAAAATGAATGCAAAATTGCGTTCGAAGTGTGCGAGAGAGGGGGGAGGGGATATTTCAGAAGCAATTTGTTAAAACGTATTTTCAAGTATGTGGAATATCTAGCTACTTGGATCGCCTTTGTATGTAAATACCGTGTAGAAAAGGCCCTCCCCATCTTTGTAATTAATTGACACGTTATACCACTCATCATGTGCTACAGCACCAATGGTGGAGGCTCACCTCCCTCCCCAAAAAACCCCGCAATTTCACATCTGCAAACACTGTCTTCATCCACTTGACTCCCAAGACCCGCCCACACGTGGCCAACCTTTTGCGTTTTAATGCATTTTCACACACCCCCCCCTTCTCCCTCCTCTCAGCAGGTTCATGTACGAAGACCAACCTTATATGGACAGCCCGTCTCAGCAATGGCTTGTTTTTTTCAAGGAGGCACCACCAGCGCACTGGGCTTAAAGCAGACCCTCAAGTAAACGCACGTTGGCATTTTTCCTGGAGTTACAAAGTCTTGAGGAAGCCCCTGTCGCCCCCCTTGGGTTCCCCGGCTCTCAGCCGCCTAGACAGCAGATAGTATATGCCGAAAGACGGCAGCTGATTTTTGTGTCCCCCCCCCTCCGCCCCACACCATCACCACCACCCCAGCCTTTCCGTTCTTTCATCCCCATCCCCCAACCCCCCTTCCTTCTTCTCTCTCCCACCCACCCA